TCATTAGCTCTCTCTCTCTCTCTCTCTCTCTCTCTCTTTCTCTCGCTCGCTCTCTCTCTCAGCTAATTCAGCCAGTGTTAGCAGCTCTCAGGGTTTGTCAGGGAGAACCAGCCCCCGGTTCTTCTACTGTCACACTCCAGCTGCTTAGACCTGTGTGTGTGTGTGTGTGTATGGTGGCGTCTACTGAGCTGCAGTCAGATTGTAATTGAGTAACTCCAGTTCAAATGCATCTTCATTACCTCTCTCTCTCTCTCTCTCTTTCTCTCGCTCGCTCTCTCTCTCAGCTAATTCAGCCAGTGTTAGCAGCTCTCAGGGTTTGTCAGGGAGAACCAGCCCCGGGTTCTTCTACTGTCACACTCCAGCTCCTTAGACCTGTGTGTGTGTGTGTGTGTGTGTATGTTCTAATCTGTAAAACCAACAGATCCCTAATTCTCCAACACCCCATTGTGATGATCCAGTAAAGATCAGTGGTTAATGGACCAATAACCAGTTTAGGGAGATTTTAATTATAGATGCTACGATCAACCAGCAAATGTTTGGAATCGAACGTTTTTTAACCATGATTGGCCTGGACACGTGACCCGTGGTCAGCACCAGTGCTCCCAATGTTGTGGCCAACATAGAACACAAAAAACTGGAGAGGAACCTCCCACTCCCCAGCTGAAGCTAACGTGTTCTTCCTCCTCCAAACCTCTAATTCTAGCTCTGTGATTGGCTGTGTCTGAAACCAGACTGGACCAAACTCCTAAAACTCACTCTCACTTAGGTTAGTTAGTTAGTTAGGCTGGTTAGTTATTGAGTTAGTTAGCTGTTGAGTAGTGACCCGGCTGGTGGTGAGGTGGTTCAGTGGTTTGATGAGGAGCTCACAGCTGGAGAACGTTCTAGAGTCGGAGTCCGTCTTCTGTTGCACCTGTGTGTGTGTGTGTGTTTGTGTGTGTCCTTCATTGTTCCTCACATTGTTTTTCTTTACAAACAGTCCCAACGTGACACGGTGCTGCGCTCTATAAAAATTATGCTCATTTAGACATATTTATTTCCTCTTGACACTTTAATTATTTCTGGCCCCATTGGAGGGAATGACATAAAACTCCCCACGTTCACACTGATTATAATTAGGAATGCTGGGAAATTAAAACAGAGTTGTTGGAAATGCTGTCATTTTTTTCCGGGGCTCGTCTTGGAATTATGTCTCAATCAGCACAAGCGGAAATAATTACTTGTATACTCTAACTGCCAACATTTACCAAATGGCAGAGCAATTTACAGCCATCATGGCCCCAGAAGCAATCATTGTGCCAACTATAAATTTACAGGCCCACCATCTCCGACGCTACGTTGGGAGGAAGGGTTATTGTGGAGAATTAGAGGGAAACCATGGAGATCTATCTGCTGACATCAGACAATGTCCAGGACCGATGTGGCTCCAGGACCGATGTGGCTCCAGGACCGATGTGGCTCCAGGACCGATGTGGGCTCCTGTCTCCAACTGTCTGTCAGCAGTCGCTCTGACCATTTCATTATATAAGTGTTATTCATGTTATCTTACAGTGAGACCACACACACACACACAGACTCCTCTCAAATGCAGGCGGGTTGATGATGAAGTGATTATTTCCACACACACCATTAAACACGCTCACTGCTGGCTGAGATGTAGACAAAGGCACAGATAAAAACAGCAGCACAGACACCTTCATATCTGACTGTGCAGTAATTACTCACACACGTCATTAGACACCGGCTCTTCTCTAACACTCTCCTCCTGTAAAACAAATGGCTTCATGTTCACTGCCTTACAGCAAGGAGGTCCACAGTTCAATTCCCACCTCCAACTGTTGGAAATCCAACTTCCTTCAAAAGTACAAGATTATGGTAGATTATGGAATAATATATATATATATATATATATTACACAGTGGAACCTCTTGGTTGTTGACCAATGAAATGACCTTTCCTATTCATAGCTTTATTCTTTATTTAGTTGTGTTAATGTTTTTTGTTACATCTACTGTAACTATTTTTGTTGGTTTCCTGTATGAACCTGTTCACAAAATTCTGTTGAAAAAGTTTGAATCAGCAGTTACCCAAGAACAGGTTCATCCTTTAGACATTGATTCCTACAGAGAAGAAATTGGTTTCAGTTTTTGAACTTTTCCGTTCATGAATGGCCTTCAGGAACTAACATAGAACATATATATACTGTATATGTATACATATACACAATTATTATAAAAAAAAAATGTGTAGAGTCTTTGAGCCTAATGTGAGGCTCGGTTAATTTGTTATTATTATTGTTGTTGTTTATTATAATGATTATTGTTCTTAATAATGATAATATTTAAAATAATAAGGCAGTAATAATAATAATATTGTAATAATATTGTTATTATTTTAATAAGAACTTTGTTGTTTATTATAATGATTATTGTTGTTAACAATGATAATATTCAGAATAATAGTACAATAATACTAATAAAATTATTATTATAACAATAACTGACTATTATCTATTTCACATACAGCTGATTATTATTTCAAAATTGAACTCATCTTGACACATATATTTTTTGACATTCTTATATTTCCTCTTTCTTGTTCCTTGAAGATCCGTTTGTTTTCATTTGAACTTAACTTTCCTGTTTCTGTCTCATCACCGTGGCGTTGACATTCCTCACACATCACGGACAGTGTCTCACCGTCTCCAGGAAGTGTGGAGGTATTCCCTTGGCCCGCACTTCAGTCTGAATAAATTGAATGTTGAACAGTTTTCTGAACAGCATTCTGTTAACTGGTGTGTGTGTGTGTGTGTGTGTGTTTGTTCTGTGTGTGTGTGCGCAGCAACAACAGAGACAGAACAATGAGAGACGACTGATCCCAGAAGAACAGTCCACTCTAGTTTGGAGAGCAGTGTAATTTAAAAGAGCACACCTCTGCTACAGTGGCTCCAATTTAAACACACACACACACACACACACAGACAGAGCAGAAAATCACTCCATAAATAATAACAGCCAAGTTCTAATTTATTTTTAGGAATATATAAAAACCTGAGGATGACACATGAAGGAGAGGGGAGGGGGAGGAGGAGGAGGAGGAGAGGGGCAGAGCAGCCAGAACTCTAGTACTGTAGTACTGTAGTACTGTAGTACCAGCTACTCTCCTCAGTCAAAGTCTTTGTTGTTGTTCCTGTAACATTAGCAGGTTTCTGTTCTCTCTCTCTCTCTCTCTCTCTCTCTCACCCTCTCACCCTCTCACCCCTTGTCCCCTGTCCCACCACCTCTTAGTTCTGTAGTCCTGGGTGAAGGCAGCTGCTCTGTGGTTACATGGTTGTTGTTCTTTGTCTACTGACGGAGCAGAACACTGATTATTGGATGTGTTTAGTGTTTGTGTGTAGATGGTCACGGTTATATGTGGATGTGTCTCAGGAGTTATTTTTATTTGTTATTTCAATAATTTTCAAATTATTTAATTATTAATAACAATCTAACTCATTCACACACTCACACACACACACACCAGTTCGATGGAACGAGTCACTTGTTCCATTAGCTTTGAACTGATGAGAGTGCACAGCTCCCTCTGTTGGTGCACAGTGAATTACAACGACTGCGTCTCTGCCTCCGCAACAACACTCTCCGTTCATTCACTCATTCATTTTTATTGTTGTCTTTAAAATATGAACCATGTTTAAATGTGATTGTTCTCACGGCCTTTGATATAAATGTATTTTATTGAGTTGATTAAACACAGACTTAATCCACAGAGTACACTGACAGATACTACTACTGTAGGTGAGTACAAAAGTATTTCACACGGTGTACATTCTGTTGGGTTGTTTTAAAAAATATTTTTTTTTACAAATATATTTAATAAGTATGTTCATATTAATATAATGTATACACACACACTGCTCTGCTTAGATTCACAGAAGGAAATTCTACAACAGAGGTACTGCGGGGTCAACAGAGGTTAACAGTTACTTTATTTTATTTATATATTTAATAAAACTCTTTCTATAAATTGACACTTTTCTGAATTAAAGATAGAGATAGATAGAACTTCATGAATACCTCATAAATTAATTCAAATGATTCGTTTAAAATAAAAACTCAATTTGACTGATAAAATAAGAAAATAAAAATAAAGACAGAGAGAGAGACAGACATCTTTGCTTCACTCCATCACTCCCTCAGAGAACTCCAGCTGCCGTGTGTGAACACCGTGTGTGGAGTGGTCTAAAGGGGTCACTGTTGAGGAGCCAATCAATATTCAGGGTGACGATGAGGGAGGGTTCAGGGTCAGACAGGGGTGAGGAGGAGCAGGGGGCGAGTTAAGTGAAGACATTTTTAGTGAAGAAATGTACTACAGTACTGATGTAGATCTCCTGGTCATCTCTAACATTCCTCTGGTCTAACCCCTCCTCCTGCCTCCTCCTTCCTTCTTCTTCCTCCCTTCTCTCCTGAACTCCTCTCCTCCAGGAATGTGGACAGATTTCACGTGATAAATGACAGGATTAGAATCAATAATATTGGAGTGTCCTGCTGCTCCTGTAGGGGCAGCAGAGAGCTGAAATGATCAGAGAAATGGACTGGACCAGAGTCAGTCGTCCACCACAGAGGACAGAGCTCTGGAAATATAATAATCCTGTGTGTGTGTGTGTGTGTGTGTGTGTGTTAGGGGAGTTCTTTGTAAATAGAATTTAATAGAAAACTCAGAAATGTATTTACTTAAAAAATAGATTTTGAAAAATGTTGAATTTTATTTTTTTGTTTTGGTGAATTTTCAGAACACTTTAATAAAATGTCGAGATGACAGACAGAAGTTTGACCGACGCTTGAAAGAAGACAAGAAAGAGATGGAAGAAAGAAGGAGAGAAGGTCTGTTTTTATTCCTTTCAATCCTTTCCTCTCCTCTCTCTCCTCCTTCTTTGTCCGGTCCCTCCTTCTTTCTCCACCTGCTTCTCTGTTACCTTCTCCTTTCCTTTCTCCACCCCCCCCGACCCCGCCCCCTCCACAGCCATTGGTTGTTCGTCCACTAATCGGCAGCGCAGCAGGGCCTGAGGGACTGCATATGTAAAGAGCTGCTTAATATTCATGAGCAGTTTTCGGGGCTTAAAGTGGTTGATTAGTGGCTTCACACAGCTCTGCTGCCCGGCTGTGTGTGTGTGTGACAGTCCGTGTGTGTGTGTCCTGCCTTCAGCCCCGTCACTTTCTCTCTCTCTCTCTCACTCTCTCTCTCTCACACACACACACACTCACTGACATCCACACAGAGCTGAGCCCGTGCCGCTGCACACACTCCGCTGAATGAACGGAGCGCAAGAAAGGACGGAGGAAAAGAGAGGAGACATTTAAAAGAAAAAGAAACAAACAAAAAAGAATTTGTTCTTCTTGTTTTTCCGGAGAGGCTGACCCGACAATGACCCGCCCTCGTCGATGGATTTGGTAGGACGTCCGCTCCCCGAGTGTTCTTTAATGCACTCTGAACAAGAGTAGGTAAATTTCACCTTTACTCTCCATCACAAGTGTGTGTGAGTGTCCGTGTGTGTGTGAGAGAGATTGTCCGTGTGTGTGTGTGTGCACTGCAGGTGTCCCGTTTGTCCAGGTTGTCTCCTAAGTTTGTGTGCGTGATGTCTGCAGTGTCCGGACAGGAGCTCTCTGTCAGCGGCAGGACCTGCGTACTTTCCCGCCCCTCTGAAAGCTCACCTGCGCCGTGTACACGCGTGTACACACTTTAAAAACACACACGCAACATACTTTTTTAAAAGTGTCTCTGTCCCAAGAAGAGTTTTACTTCAGTACTTCAGAGTATTAAAAGGTCCAGCGGAGCGGACCGGAAAAAATCGACACCTGCTCGGCGCTTCAGGTGACGTTTCACACGGACAGCTCATCGCGTGGCACCGCGGAGAAATGTGTTTTTAAATTAAACACAAACAAAGTTTTTACTGTTGAACCCCGAGATGGAAATTAAAAATATATATATATGTTAGTATTAAAATTAAAAACGAATTTGCGCGTGCATGTGACGTACACTACCACACCACACGAAGATAAATGAAAAGATTTGAAATCAATGAGATCGTATTTTGATTGACAGGTGTTAACGCTGCAGACATTTAACTCTTAATGTTTGTCATTTATTATTATAAATATTAGAGTTAGTGTCCGTTTTATAGATGACGGGAAGTCAAGTGTGTGTGTCTGTCTGTGTGTGTGTGTGTGTGCGCGCTGAAGAACCGATGCGTTCCATCAGAGGACAACATTAAGAAATCAAATGTTCCATTAGTTTGATGTGATGGAATGTGAACAGTGTCCTGCACAGAACCACAGGTTCTGCTGGACGTCTGCTGAGAACCCTGGAGAACATGGATTAAAAAATATATTTATTTGTTTGCAACAATTTGAATGATTAGATTTGAAATCTAATAAAATAAAAATATGTTCATTTACCTTCATTTAAACGTCACAAATAAACCAAAAACACACTGACGTCTGAAGGTGAGTTCTTCAGACTGTCAACGCAGCACGCACACACCGCCGCCACCGACTGAGGCCAACGGTTCTGATGCACAGAACCACAACTCTATACAGTTTTTCACAGCCAGGCTGAGGCCAGAGGTCAGAGGTCAGTGTGTGTGTGTGTGTCAACGACTCATAGGAAAAATAGTCTGAATCATTTAAAGATGTTTCAAGTTCAAAAGTTTAGAACTTTTTAGAGCTGATGTCCAAACTGAGGTGCTGAGTTGACCCAGTCGTGTGTGTGTGTGTGTGTGTTTATATTTTTCATTTACACTCTTCTTTTTTGTCACCTCCTTCCTCCTCCACTCTTCTCTGTTCCTCTGCCCTTGTTTAAATATGATTCTAATGATGATCAGTTCAACAGTGAATATAACAACAACAACCACTGTCGTCTAATCTGTCAATATCACCACGCTCCCTAAGTCTTCACATGGTTTAACGCCTTTGGTTCAGTTTGGGTGATGGAATGTGTGTGTCAGTCGGTGTGTGTGTGTGTGAGAGAGAGAGACACAGTCGCTGTGTGTGTTTTGACTCATTCTGTCTGTGAAACATTTTGTAAAAATTGTGAGTTAGTTTTAAAATTAAATCTGGATTTTTGGTCCAAACCAGCGGTGAATGTCGTCAAATAACATTTTTAGATTTTTACTGTTAATATAGACATGCAAAAATAAATAGAAAATATATTTAATAATGGGTTTTTAAATTTAAAATATATGTAGTGTAATGGTGTGTGTGCTTGAGTGGAGCTGAAAAATGTTGGACTCTATTTGTTTATTCAGTCGTTACATCAGACTTTCTGTTTTTAACTCTACAAATCGCTGCTGTTATGGCTGTGGTGGTGGTGATGAAGATGATGATGAAGAAGACGGTGACAGTGACAGTTCTGGAATGATCCGTGTCTGTGTTTTTTTCACCGTTAAAATTCCAATGATCATCTTCTCATTTGAACCATTTCATTTTTGGCCTTTTATGTCGGGGTCTGAGGCCATGAGTGAGAGATATCAGCTCCAGTAGAGAGAGAGGGGGAGGGAGAGGGTGGGAGATTTAAGAGGGAGGCAGAGAGATTGCGTAAATTAAACTCCCTTTAATCTCCTTATAAAATCATTTACTTAATTCATCTGTCAAAGCAGTCAATATGGGCCACACAGATTTGTGGGACGTGTGTGTGTCTGTGTGTGTGTGTGTGTGTGTGACTTCCAGCAGATACTCAATAAGAACTTTGTGTGTCCGTCCCCACTCATTCCTCACGCACACATTTTCACTCAGTTCCTTTGTCGCTGTGTTCTCTACCTGCGTTCCCACCTTCCCGCCTCCCCTCCCTCCCCCTCCCTCCCCCATGTGAGGCTGTGGTCATGCTGCTGCGCATTCAGTCCTGTAAAAGGGAGAGGGCTGCTGCCATGAGTGGGGGCAATATAGTTATAGAAGAGGGGAGGAGGGGGGTGCGTGTGTGTGTGTGTGGGGGGGTCCTTTTGTCTGACACCAGCACTTAGGGGTCCACTGGATGTGTACACACTCTCTCTCACATACACACACACACACACACACTCGTCTCTCTGTGGACCTAATGTCTTATTCGTCTCCTTACGTTAACCAAACACCCCGGCTCACCCCTGCCTCCCCCCTTCACCTCAGGAAATCTCAGCTGAAATAAAACAGAACTTCAAAGATGAAAGGATAAAAACCCAAATACTTCTACACACACACACACACACTTTATTTTAACAATTGTGTTTTCTATAAATCCCTGTTTCACACACGGTTCCAGTCCCGGCTCTAACTGTCTTTCTGTATGGAGTTCAACTGTGTGTGTGTGTGTTTTCCTCCATTTTTCTCCCACTCTCCAACAACAGTCTGACCTCTCACCAGGTTGACGTTCACTCTAAACTGATCCAAAGTGTTGGTGTGAATGGGAGTGTGTGTGTGTACGTGCGTAGGTACTGTTGGAGTCATTACATTTCCCATGATCCCTCAGTGTTTCCATCATCTTAATTTTGACCTCTGACCTCATGTCCTGACCTTGCTTTACAAAATCTTCATTGGTTGATGTGAGTGTGTGTAGAAATACATCATCATTTTAACCACAGACTGGACGGTCCACAGACCTGACGGTCCACAGACTGGACGGTCCACAGATCACTGACTCTCATTAGTCTGTGGATCAACTGCTGTGTGTACGTTCCTGGTACAGCTGTATTTGTGGGGACACGTCGTCCTTGGGGGGGGGCTGTCTTCACGTCTCCTCTACATAGAGTTTTGAGCCTGACAGTTGAGTCAAGAGTCAGTTTTAGAGTTGGATAAGGGATTAGGATCAGACGTGTATTTGTAGAAGGAGACTACGGACAGAATGGTCTGGTTGAAGTGACCGTACTGCACAAAATCATCAACCTGTGTCTGTGTGTGTGTGTGTGTGTGTGTGTGTGTGTAAAATGAGAGTGTAGAATGAAGGTGGATGAACGACCTGGTCCTCCTCCGTCTGACAGTGAAATATTCCTCCACTCATTCTCTCATCATGCTTCATGTGTGTGTGTTTCTGATAGGGAGACCATGACGGCTGGGCGTGTGTGTGGGGTGGGGGGTGCACCTCATTTCAGTGTTTTTATTCTTTTCATTTTAAATCAGTGTCGTTTTTGCTTCAGTCTGTCTGATTCATTTCTATAATGACACAGATGTGTGCGTGTGTGTCTGCTCCGAGTGTGTGTGAGTCGTCACACACTCTCACACACACACACACACACACTCACACACCATGATCGAGTCAAAATCACCAGAAAAAAACTGAAATATTTAAACAAATTAAATCAGATGATAAAACTGTGACGTTGAAAATATAAAATATATAATATACACTGTAAGAGAGTACAAAGTAGTACTATGTGTAGGAAATGTAAAATACATCGTAGTAGAAGAGAAGGTAGTACTAGTTGTAGAAAATATAAAATACACTGTAATAGAGTAGAAGATAGTACAAGTTGTAGAAAATATAAAATACATCGTAGTAGAGAAGGTAGTACTATGTGTAGAAAATATTAAATGCACCGTAGTAATATTTTTACATATTACTGCAGCGAACAGTTAGAGACGTGTACCAAGTAGAACTCATTCTTAACATATATATACAACATATATATGTATATGTATATATGGATGTAAGATATATGTATATGATATAAGATGTAAGATATGTATGTAATATCGCTGTAATATAATATAATATATATATTTCTGTCTGTTTTATCAGACGGTGAATTAAATTTTTTAACCGTCAAAAGTCAAACTGTTGATGAATCGCCTCATGATAAAAATATTGTTGTTAAAACCTAGAGGAACCACGAGCTGTTCTTCTACGTCAGTACCGATGAAACCGTTTCCTCCTCCTTTTTTCTCTCCACTGCACCCACACACACACACCCACACACAACCCCCCCCCCCTTCCCCTTTACGGAGCTGTCACCTTTCTGCATTCGCTCAGTCCCTATTAAGGCCGACAGCCCATCTGCCGCCTGCCCCGCTAACAGCTCCCGTCGCTAACGTGCACACATAAACACAAAAATCCCCGTCCTCTCGTACACGCCAATGGATGTGCGGCGTCCACACCTGGCCTGATATGCATGCAAATGGAGAGGAATCCTCACAGGAACCCAACATGGAAATATGGTGGGTTCCTGACAAGTGGCATCTTTGTTTCTTCTTTTTTTTTTACTGATATTTTAGCTGTAGACTTTTGGTGATGATGTCATCACTGTTGATGATGTCATCACTGTCCACTTGTCAGGACACACTAGAACTACCACATAGCAAATAAATCTCTTCTTCTTTAGCATTTCAGCAGCTTGACAACAGTTCCAGGTTCTATTTGTCGTGTCAGAATATCAGTTCTAATAATGATCGGTTCCTGTGTATCAACATTTGACCATTGGATATTTATTGTGTTTATAACAGGGAGACGTTATGATGCAGTTATGACTCTGTGTGTGTGTGTGTGTGTGTGTGTGTTTGTTGATGTGGCTGTTTTTGGCATTTGCTCTCATTAGCAAGAATGGCAACTGTCTCATCCGTCACTGCCTTACCATCTCTGTCTCACGCACACACACACAGACACACATGCGTACAAACATGCACACGCTCTGTCCTGGTCATTCACAGATGGACCAGCGACACATGAGCGAGTCACTGAGATCAGAAGGACACACTTCAGTCAGTGGTTTGTCACTGGCTTCTTTTTTCTGTTTGCTTCTTTGAAAATTATATTAATTTGTAAACCAAGTTGTTGACAGTTTCTCTTTGTCTCTCACCCTCTCTCACCCCCCTCCACCCCCCCCCCATCAGAATGAACCTATCGAAGGGCCCTCTAGTGAACAGCAGCAGTCAAGACAACTCCAAGTCCACCTTTGGTAAATGCAGCGCTGGGGTGTGGAGGATGCACCAGAGCTACGATCCAGTGGAGGTCACCCACATGAGAGACGCACATGCCCTCTACAACCCAAGGTAAGGCTGGGGGACACTCTGGGGGACAGGGACAGAGTCCTGACATGGTCTCCGTGATAGACGTGGACGAGACCACCACAGCTCAGTAAACAGACAAAGAAAAAAAACAAAGAAAAAGAAAAGATAATTAATACATAAATAATGGAATTCTGATTAGTGTTGGGGTCACAGTGAGGTCACAGTGAGGTCACAGTTTGATTCAAGTCACAAGGAGAAACTCTGTGCAGAGACGGCAGGAAGAAAAGAGTTCATTTGTGTCTAAACACTGAACAAATGTAAAACCATTTATTTTACAACAATTCTCATAAACTCTGTTTTAAAGTATTTATAAAAAAGACAAACACACACACACACTCATACTGATTTCGAAATTGTTACTGTGGCTGCAGTTCTGTTCAGGTTAGAACGGAAAAACAAAGCCTTTGTGTGTGTGTGTGTGTGTGTGTGTGTCTGGAGGGTCCCTGTCCAATAGGATTCCAGTTGAATCTTGTTCCAGCCAATCAGTAGTCTGATGAGTCATTCTGACCATGACGTCCAGTCGATCTCTGCAGGACTTTTTCTAACTTTGTTTTTGGCTCTCAGAGATTTATATTGATGAAGCTGTGGTCACATGACTCTCAGACTCACACACACACACACACACACACACACCTTAGACTGTGACAAAGCAAAACAAAGTGTATTAGCCGCTCTCCTTCACACCAACAACAGTAGAACAACTAGAAATACCAGAACCAGTAGAACTAATCAACAGCAGGGTCCTCACGAACTAAGACTTGAGTAGATTTCATTGTCAAAAAACTGGCGTACGCTTGGAAAACTTCAGATGTATCACGGGTGTGAGGCTGCAGCACACACACACGAAGGCAAAAACAGAAATGGTCAGAGATGAAGTGCACGGTGTCTGCCCCGGTCATGCTGTCACTCTGAGCCACAGCGTTAGGGAGCTGCACTTGACTGGACACGGTTCTGATTAACAGACAACAACGTGGAAAAGGACGTGCGCAACTTTTTGGTGCGTACGCAGCGTTGGTACTTGAGGCCTCTGGACTTTAGTGTGAACTTTGACCTTTAGTAGAAACTGTCGGTGTGTGAACATCAACAGTTTGATTTCAGCTTTTATTGAGGCCGTCAGACCATGTGACTGTGATGAATGTCAGGCTGTCAATGGTGTGCTGTGGAACACACACACACACACACACACACACACTTTGCTATAAATTTAACCCAATGTAATCATAATGATAAAACAGATTAACACACAGATGGGCGTCCAACAGCTTTGTGTGTGTGTGTGTGTGTGTGGACAACAGTGATTGGATTGCAGATTTATATTAGAGGATTACGGCCTCAGCACACACACACACACACACACACACACACACTCTGACTGTCTCCTACAGTTGGACTTTACCACCTTCACCACCGCCAACTACAGAACATCAGTTTGTCTTCACCCAGAACAAACACACCGTAACTCACACACACACGTATAAACATATGACCTTTGACCTCGTTTAATGACACAAAATAAACATATAAAATAAGATCAGACACAGGTGAAATGAAACCATCCGTCTGAGGACTTTCTGACTGAGTGGTACTGTACCAGACCGACCTTCCTCTTCCTCTTCCTCTTCCCGTTCCTCTTCCTGTTCCTGTTCCTGTTCCTCTGCCTGTTCCTGTTCCTGTTCCTCTGCCTGTTCCTGTTCCTGTTCCTCTTCCTCTTCCTGTTCCTCTTCCTCTTCCTGTTCTGTCAGAGGACATGATCAGCTGACTGACAGGTGGACTCTCCACAGACCTGCACTGACAGACCAATTTCACCCAATCTGATCTGACTATAGAAGGCAGCCTCCCCTCACCCTCTCACCCTCTCACTCTCTCACCCCCTCACCCTCTCACTCTCTCACCCCCTCACCCTCTCACTCTCTTTTTATTACTGTATCCTTAACTGACAAATATGTCTGCGTGTGTATGACAGTGTGTTTTCGTGGCGCTGGTGTTACTATCTTAGTGGGGACATTTGTTTATTTCTGTTGTTGTGGGGACATTTTGGCTGAGAGAGTATTTTGAGGTCGAAGATTTAATTTGGAGTTAGGATTAGAATTAGTGTGTGTGTGTGTGGGGGGGTTCATTCATCTATCTGTGTGTGTGTCGCCCTCAGCAGTGGTTAGTGTTGGTTCAGTTCCCTCAATGCTTGTGATAACACGGCTTGCCAACAGCCCACCCCCCGCCCCCCTCACCCCC